TCTCCGCTATACATTTTTTTTTCCTATTTTAATGGAGAAAATTTTTAAATTCTAAACGAATTGTTTTCAAGTTTTAATTACATGCATTGAAAATAGTAAAATTTTCCAGTTTCAATTTTTTTTGGTGCCAAAATGAATCATGCTTTAAAATTGTAAAATTTTACAATTTCATAACATGTTTTTACTGTAAAATTTTGTTGTTTCATAACATACTTTTCAGTTTGATTAATAAGGATAATTGTTTAATAGAATCATGCTTTGAAATTGTAACAATTTTACAGTTTTAAAACTTGCTTTTCAGTTTGATCAATATTGGAGATTATTTGGTTAAACCCTACAAAAATTAAAAAATAACATATATTTTTTCCCATTGTTGTTGTTTATTGATGTTACGTTTTTTTTCCCTTTCAGTTTGTTAATATTTAACACATTTTGCTAAGTTTTTTTACTCTATTTTCTCTATTTATTCCGATGAGTTTTCGATGATGTTCTTGATATCCAGCTAACATTCTGGACATTCCGATGACTTTTAGTGATATTTATAATACTTCAGTGATACACTGACGAATTTTGAGCGATACTCCGGTAACTTCTTGGTGATGTTTAGCATTTCGGCGAGTCTCCAGTGACTGTCTAAAGAAGTTCGGCGGTGGTGTGATGTAGCAGTGTCTTTAAATTTAAAAGAAAAAGAATTTTTTGGTAATAATTAAAATTATGTAAGACTAATTGGTGCAAGTGTTTTAAATAAATTTTAAAATTTGTATATGGTATTTACTAGCAAGTGCCCCCTCCCTCCCCCATTTTTCTCTCTCCAAGTTTAGTATCCTTGTGATTTCTCTTTCTCGTACTCAGTCACACCTCTAATCTCAAACCTACAAATTCAAATCAAACAACAAATACTTACAATCAGACCACCACCAAAAAGAAAGAAAAGAAAATTGAAATTCATGGTTTTAGTTCCTGACTCTAGACAATGGTGGTAAAAATCAATTTGTCCACTAGTCCTCCATTGGATCTGAGGTCTTTCGCATCCTCAAAGAGGGTGAGGTCACAAGTGTTAACTTTTGTCAATTTCATCCCTAAATAGTGTTGGTCCATGTTTAGATAAGAACATTGTTGGAGTTACTAACAAAAATCACTTAAAAAATTACGGTACATACGCATTACATACATGAAGTATGACTTATATAGTGTGTAGTTTATTCGGTAATTTTATTGGTAATTTTAAATTTGCAGGCCAAAGCAATTATAAGTATATTTTATTAAAAAGATTATGTACCATACGCACCTTATAACTAAAGAAAAAATGATATAATTTCATAATTTTTGAGTCATAATTAAAATAAAATATAATGAAATATCACATCAGACACTAAAAAAAGAAAAATTAGTCATAATTAGAAAAAAAAAATAACATAATTAAATGTGCATATAATACACCTTTTAAAAAAGATATGTATAGTAAAATTTCCCTTTTATCAAGTATGGTTATATGGGATGTTAAAAAAAGAAAAAGAAAAAAAGTACAGTTATATGGGCAAATTATTATTAGAGGGAGTTGGGCCAAAAAAAAAAAAAAAAAAAATCCAAACATATGGTTCTTCTAGTCCACTTTGATTTTTTATTATTAATTTTTTTTTATAAAATGTATCTTTAAAATACATTGTAAAATGGTTTAAAAAAATTATAAATTTTTTTTACTACACTTATTTTTATACATAATGTACCATCTTTTTAAATTAAAAAATAGTAAAAACGCTAAATAAATTATCAAATATTTTACTAAATACTTACATGAGTGTGAAATTTGTGTATGTATTTTAATATTTTATTAAATACTTACACGAATTTCACACTCATGTAAGTATTTAGTAAAATATTTGATAATTTATTTAGAGTTTTTACTATTTTTTAATTTAAAAAGATGGTACATTATGTATAAAAATAAGTGTAGTAAAAAAAATTTATAATTTTTTTAAACAATTTTACAATGTATTTTAAAGATACATTTTATAAAAAAAAATTAATAATAAAAAATCAAAGTGGACTAGAAGAACCATATGTTTGGATTTTTTTTTTTTTTTGGCCCAACTCCCTCTAATAATAATTTGCCCATATAACTGTACTTTTTTTCTTTTTCTTTTTTTAACATCCCATATAACCATACTTGATAAAAGGGAAATTTTACTATACATACCTTTTAAAAGAGGTGTATTATATGCACATTTAATTATGTTATTTTTTTTTTCTAATTATGACTAATTTTTCTTTTTTTAGTGTCTGATGTGATATTTCATTATATTTTATTTTAATTATGACTCAAAAATTATGAAATTATATCATTTTTTCTTTAATTATAATGTGCATATTGTAATGCCTCAAAATCTACACTAAGGGAGTCAATGAAAAGTTACTAATGAGTCCTATGGTCAATGACCAAGTAAGATCTTAGATCGCCGGAGGAGTCAAATTAGCCTTATAAGTCCAGCTTTCTTAGGTAGCAAGCTACCCTTTTGACAGATCTTAAAGGCATTGACACAAGGTCTCATAAGCAACGTGGGGAACTATATTGATTTTCAAAAAAAGACAAGTATATAATAATAAGAGAATAGATACAAAATATCCTTCCTTACAAAA